TTAAAACACAGACATCCCCTGGGAGATTCCCCAGCGAGTTGAACAGCAATAGCAACGTTTCCAGTTTCTCCAGATGCCGAATACCAGGCGGGATGGTGCCTATTTTGTTGTCACTCAGGTCCAGAAAGGTGAGGCTCCTCAGCTGGCAGACCGGAGTGGGCAGCTCAGCGAGGCTGTTGTTGGCCAGGTGGAGGCTGTGTAGCTTCTGCAGCGCCCCAATTTCTGGGGGCAGAGAGCTCAGGCTGTTATTGCTGAGAGTGAGCCTCTCTAAGTGAGTCAAGGTGCCAATTTCAGCAGGGATTTTCTTCAAGTTGTTGGAGTCCATGTAAAGGAGGGTTAGGTTCTTCAGGTGGCTGATCTCGCGGGGGAGCAGCTCCATGCGGTACCTCAGGCAGCTCTCCCGTTCAGGGCTCATCTCCAGGACCTGCAGCTGGTCCATACCAAAGAGCTGTGTGGGAACTGACGCTAGCTCTCTGCCTGAAATCTTGAGTTTCTTCTTCCCTTCATACTTTGGATCATGCTCTGTAAGGTACCTCCACAGTGGATCAGGGCCTGTAGAGGCACATCTGAAGGAAGCAGCTGCATTCATTCTTCCACCAGAAATGTGGCCAGTTGAACAGAGATCAGGACGGTCACTTGCAAAGTGTTGCACGCTCCATGAGCAACCTCGGAGGTTCTTCACTCACTGAGGTCCTCCGTGAGCTCTCCTCTGTCAGGCACACTAACAACACAAACATACAGGATTTAGGTTGCTCAGATACATCCCGTTGAGTAAACATTTACCGTTCTCACTTGATCAGGAGTTCCCCTTTCGGCACTGCAGTGTACACAAAACCCAGCTCCCTGGCTATGACATTGCCTCTTCTGGCTGCACTCCTTGTTTAACTCACTGGGCTAGTAGCAAATATCTGTCTACTTTTTGAAAATGAAACAGGAATTTTCTGCCTGTGCTTTTCAGCAGCTCATTCAAATCCTTCTCGTGTATAGCTCTTACCTAGTAGATGTGCCGAGGGTGAACTTGTCTTAGGAACTCAGTGGTCTCTGGCAGCGTGTTGATCCATCCCAGGAGACTGCAATGGAAGCAGCAGGGCTGAGCAGATGAAGCACGTTAGGTGGGACGAGAAGGACACAGACTCCTAGCTGGTGGCGTGGAACCCGGGAGCCAGGAATGGATCCTGCTTTTAGGACAATTTGTGCCTTTAATATTAAGGAAACACAATAAAGAATTAGTTTTGAAATCTGGAAGTCCTTCTCCCTCCCGCTGAGCTTATGAATCTCCATACAATACAAATACGGTCTTTCTTGTGCCATATTTGCTCTGGCAATTTTAAGAGTACATTTTTACTCTTCACTGGCATAGCTTTCATAGGTTAGGTGAAAATTTACACGTTTATCCCAAGCAATTCAGCACAGCGTGCTATGTAGAGAGCAGGGCATTTTCCTATGAGAAAATTGTAGGTTTGAAGCCTCAGGCTGTGAAACCCACTTCTTTTACTTCCTGTTCTGATCCCTAAGGTGCTCAAATAAAAGATGTTGAGTACAACCATTCCAAGTGCCTTTCAAGGAACGGGATCTCCACAGCCTCCTACAAACTGTTAGAGGCAGAAGACAGTGCATTGCAAGTATGGTTTAAGCATATCTAGCATGGCAGATTTTGCAAGGTGAAGACACTTCAGCTCTGCCTTTCCAGCCAGCTCAGCTCTGACTTCCTCAGCCCAGGATGGTCCTCAGTTTGCAGGGCAGCCTATATCTCAGCTCCAGAGAGCGTGGGCACACAGATGGGCAGTAAGCGTTCAGAGTCCTCAGTCCAGAAACAGCTGACCAAAAGATTTCAGGATCATAGTTCAATCCTCTGGGCTTACACTTTACGTGGTTTTTTATTGGCTTTAGCCCTGAAAGGCAGACTTTCAGAGCTGCTGCATACTGGCTTCTACTCTTCAATTGGATTGGGAGCGCAAAACCTCTAACCTTTTGGAAAACAAGCCCAGAATTTCCCTCAGATTAATCAGACTAATTCATCATCACCATCCGAAAGAGAAAACAGTAACACTTACCTGTTGTCTAGTAGTGTCGGGAGGCTGTTTTGGCATTAACAGCTCCTTGGATGCTGATGGCTAAAGACAGGCCTGCTGTGCTTCCTGCTAGGACCGGGCACAAGGTACCAAGTCGATGCTATCAAAGCTGAGTGAGCAACAGTGTGAGTAGGTCCTGGGGACACGGAGAGTGGTTGTCCCTGTTCTTCAGGGTCAGCATTAATGTCACCCACACATCAATGCATTCTGAAGGGTTCATCAAGAAAAGGTAGAGATTTTTCATAAAAGAATTCACAGGATTTAAGAAAGTCTGAATACTGTTCATAAGAAAGAATGGGCATAACGACTCAGAAAAAAATACGTACCTGAGATGAATATAGCAGCCGAAGAAAAGTGAGATTTTCACTTGCAAGGGAAAGTTTCTGACCAGAAATGACAGATCTTGCGATTTACTATAAAAGTAACTCAAACTCGGCTCCCATCAAGAGAGCTCTGAAGAAGGTATCGCAACGAGAGCCATTTCAGACTTGAACGAAAGTCATCCCCCACAGCACTTAAGGGGAAAAAATATGTTTCTTAAAACACATTTCCAAATACGTCTGTCCTGTGAAATAAATCGAATTATTGTGTGCGCTTCCCTCTGCTTAAACAGGCTTCTCTCTTCAATCAAAACCTGAGTCTTTCAGACAGAACACCACGCTGAGCCAAAGCCATGGTCAGGGAGAGGCTGCTCTAACCCTGGGCACGGTTATTCCTGATGCACTTTTTCACACCTGGAGTTTGACCCTGGGTTTTCATTTACCAAGACAGCAGGTCCTTTTCTGCTCTGACTTGCAGGACATCTTTTGCCCTGATGCTGATTGCTTCCTCCTCAGGAACTTCAGAGTATGATTAATATCCCCCTGTCAAATTGTTCCCTTGTGCTTTCTCCATAACCCTCATGATCCAAAATGAAAAATAACAAGACAGAGCCCATATTTTCAATGCACAATATCCCCAGAGCCCCAGCAGCATGTTCTCAGACTCCAATCAGAATATTACCAGAGCAAGGACTGAGTCAAGCTATGCAAGTGATTCAGAAGTTAGCCCTTAAAATGAAAATCTGCTTTGTAAGGCAACTCGGACAACCACAGTTTCATATTCATCATATTTTAATACTTTTCTAATCAATTGTTCCCATTTTACAAGTCAAGAATCAAAAATCTGTTTGTAACCTCTAGGTTTAAACCAGACTCGTGAAGCTAAGCAGGCCCCCTTTTCTTAATTCAACTTCACCTGTTATAAGGGTGTTGAAAGTAAAATCCAGACTCTTATCGGTTCTATATATTTCCCTGCGGGCTTCAGACAAACGCAAAACTTGGTACCCACCAGGCAATTCGGTGACTGATGCAGACGATCTCCTCGGGTGTGCTGGCTCTGCAGGGGCGTCACCGAGGAGAACTGCTCGTGGTCTCTCCTGGGTGCTCAGCCCTCTGCAGAGAGGTAGACTTTGGCCATATCTTGCCTTCAGCCCCAGTTTGGTTGTGCCCTTATGCGCCTTGCCTCCCCACCCCAAAGCAGCGACTTTTACCCTCAGCAGCTCTGAACTCCAGCTAATGGAGACTGAAAGAGGTGGCAGTGGCTTTTTCAGCCTGTGCTGTTGTTGTGGAATTAGCTTACGTGCAGTCATTTTAAGGAAATTGGTCTGTAATTCCCAGGTAGAGCACAGTGGGCGTTAGGACATGGCATTAGGGCTATGGTTCATGCCGTAACATTGTCCCTCTCCTTCCGAGCTGCGTAACTGCCATTTTACAGAATCACAGAATCACAGAATGGTTCAGGTTGGAAGGGACCTCTGGAGATCATCTAGTCCAACCTCCCTGCTCAAGCAGGGACCTCTAGAGCATATTGCCCAGGATCACATCCAGGGGGGTTTTGAATAACTCCAGCGAAGGAGGCTCCATTACCCCTTTGGACAACCTGGTCCAGTGCTCTGTCACCCTCACAGTCAAGAAGTTTTTCCTCAGGTTCAGATGGAGCTTCCTGTGGTTACGTTTCTGCCCATTGCCTCTTGTCCTGTGCCTGGGCACCACGGAGTTTGGTGCTATTTCCACAGCACCAAACGCCTCATCGTGCCTAGTATGCTTATCCCCACAGCAGCTCAGTGGAAACCTGAATCAGTAATGGTAGGATAAAGATTCCTACCAGTAGGCTCCCATCCTGGTCAATGAAGCTCCAGTGAAGGCAGGCAATGCAGCCCAGAGAGAGATTCAGCTGACTACTTCAGGATGCGCTTAGTCACTGTCCTGGCTCCACAGCTAACGCTGTAGCCACCTAAATCCAGATGCCATGACCTGATACTGAACCCCACTCTAAGACTGAGCATAGGATTCAATTACCAAAACACAGGCACCTCATGTCATTTGAGGTGCTACTTCATCTTCCCCAGGACAACCGCTGCCGTTCCACCCCTAGGTCCTAACGTAGTATCTGGCAGTTCCCGGTCTCTGGCACCCAGCATGCTCTCAAAGGGTGTTACCCAGCCAAGCCTGGGCAGCAAGTCCTGCCCTGCAGTCTGCGGCAAGGAAGAGCTTGGCCAGTTTCCATCTTAAAAGACTGAGCCATCAGTAAACTCTCTCTATAGGGATTTTTTTGCCCAGCATGTCAAAGCTGTGCTCATCTCCCAGTCGGTTTTGTGGTCAGAGCGCAGAGGTTGGGGTTAGCTGCTGCTGCAACATTTATTATTGCAGCAGCAACACGCACATCTCCAAATAAACAGGCAGAACAGAGTTCAGCCATAAACAGTTTAGTTCTCCCATATTAATAACAAAAAATGTGAAAAGGACAGGTCAGTAAAACAGCATCAGGAGGCTGTCATAAAAAAAAATAGCGAAGAAGGAAAATAATCCATTCCCAGCTACAGCTTCCAAGAAGAACAATTTAAAACACAAATATTAATCATTAAATAATTTAACACACAAAATTATCTTCCCCACATGATCTTTGCATTTTTATTGACAGGTCAAAAAAAAAAAAAAAGCAATAATGGTCTGTTTGCTACAACTGCAATAATTTACACAATTTAAAAAAAAAAAAAACCTGTGAAACCGTAGAACTCACATATGATTAGCACCTTTGTAATTTTTAAATAATATATTGCCTGGTTCCCTAATGAAATTTTAACAGCATATCCTCTCTTACCACAGGGCCAGCCAGAAAAATCCAGCAACAAATATCAATGGATCCCTGGGTATAAGCTTAAGATTCAATGAACAGACCTTACTGCAGTGAACTGACACTCTCCTGCAGTAGCTGCATCACTTTGGCAGACCTCAAGACACTTTACAAAAAAAGAGGAAGCACCAGCACTTTATTGCGAAGGCAGGAGTATTGAGACGCAAAAGCCATGTTCCCCTTATTCAAGCATGATTAGGGAGACAGCTGTGAACCCCATCTCTGCCCTGATCCATCACCTCCTGTCTGCACGGCTGCTTTGCAGGTCGTTGGACAGATAATGTATGGCTACCTGCCACCTCAGCCTCCTTCCACCATACCTAATCATCTGCACAGGCACAGAGGCATCTGCATTTTCTGGAGAGCAGCTTCTGACCATGCCCAGGGCTGTACTTGTAGGTTTAGTCTCTGCCCAGTTGGCAGACCTAATTCAGAAGTCAATCTCGGGCTCCCTTTCCAAAGACTGCAAATACCTGCACACAGACTAAGGCAAAAACTGTTGGAACTTGTGGTGCCTTCGTTCATAAAGCAGTAATCCTACAAACACCGCTCCTTTCTTACCTTTTTAAGCACTGCCACACAGGGCTCGATTCAATAAGATGTGATGGCAATAGAAAAGTCCCTTTGGTGACTACACACCTGTGAATGAGTAGCTCTTAGCACCAGTCCTGACCTGGGTTTGCAGCATGTCTCGAACTCCTCTCACTAGCAAAAAATGACACTGAGTGCACGCCATTTAACTGGCCAGAAAATAGCTGTAAGAAAAAGCAGGGAAATGGCAGCTAATAAATTCAGAGCACAGAGACAATCAAGGGTGTTCTCCAGAACAGATTGGATGGGTAACTATACGCTAGGGTATGTTAGACCAAAAGGAATTACGCTGTGTTCCCTTTTCCAGGTGGAGAAGTTACAGACTTCTAGTCTGCATCTTGCTCGCTCAGATCTTTTAATTGCTATTCAAGATGCAGGTTGTGCTTCATTTTTCTAACATAGCCTCTGGGCAACAGCTCCAAAAGACTTTCCAAAAAATCCCCAGATCTTCAGTTAGATTCCACTGCACCATCTCACAGGGGTAAAAGATCCTGAAATTTTCTTAACAAGAACTTTGTTATGTATTTACCCATTTCACGGTGTTCTCGAGTGTATTAAAGTCTCAAGTATAAAGTCACGTATGGCATGTGCAAACGTATATGCTAAAAGACAATGTATCAAATTCGAGGAGTTACTGGCATGACAGGAATTAAATGTCACATTAACGTGGTCCAGTTAACATGCTTGATCTCCACAAAACCTGTTCATTGCCTTCATATTTATTCAAAATTATGGCTCATGCTACTGCATGACTTGTTAGGAGGTATCTCTGGGGTAGGAAGCCTGTTGTGCATTAGCACTGGAGGGATGAAACCTCTCTCAGCCAACACTTGGAGACATGATGCTGTTAAATACAATGTGATAAACATTCTTGCCTAATACTGAAACACAGCAAGTTTGCCTAAGTAGTACAGTAACAGATATACCACTGAGAGTTACTTGCAAGCAGTTAAGCTTCATGATATTTTCACTTTGATTGGTCAAGATACATAGCAAGATACCCAGTAAAATCAAATCAAACAGCTTATTTGCATAGGAAATAGCACCATTGACACCTACAGATGACAGACTGTCATCTTTAACCCTGGCAGGGGAACGTGTTATTTAATTCCATTTTTCAGTAAAGTAGAGGCCCTTGCTATCTGCTGCAGGGTGGGAGGAGACTCCAAGGCTGGCAAACGGCTTCAGCCACCGGGTCTGACCCTGGCATGGCTGTAGACAGCTGTGAGTTCTGCTCAGTTCAGCCAGCTCGGGAGCACCGTGCCATGTGGTGAATATGCCAGCAGGGCAGAGTGTCTCACTTCTGGCTCTAAAAGACCTGATGAGATTTCCAAACGCATTCAGCACTTAGTGTCTGTATCAGGTTCATTACTTCGATCTCCCAGTACAAACTGCTTAGTGCAGAACAGTTTCAAAGATGCAGCTGCTTTGCTGGCACATATGTCCAAGGCCTGATCACCTCCCCGATCTATCCCTTTGTGTGTGGGCATGCCTCAGCCAGAGGGTTAGAAATGACCTGTTCTGAAGTTCTTCTCAGGCTCCATCCCCTTTTTATTTTTTCACTGCGTCCCCACATTGATTTTAGCTATTAGCTGATAGGGGAAAGGGGCCCATTTCTGATTTTTTGCTTTGTCTTCAACACAGTTTCCCTTGATCCACTGGATTTCTGAATGCCTCTCTGCTCTGAATCCCTTCCTCAGAGACCAGCATTCTCCTAGATCAGCCCACAACCTCTCATCTACTCTCTCAAAAAAACCAGCATTGCCAAGTTATTGCCATGGTGGATTATCATAAACAGTGAAGTTGGGTCCTACTCAGGTTCCTGAGATTTTTAAGGCCAGGAGACTTTCTGTGGTGCACTGGCTGATTTTGGGGGGTGAAGCAGAGTTAGATGGAAGGGGAGCTGTCTTTGCATTGACAGTGAAAAGGGAAGTCAGCATCCCTGAGCTGACAGAGGGCAACCTTGTGACTTTTTGCAGAGGCATCTCCTTGATAGCAAGAAGACAAACTCCAGCAGATAGGAACAAATCCTCTGTCTTCTGAAGTTCTTGCAAAGGGAAAGTGAGATTTAGACCGTCTCTGTGGTCTTCTCAGGCCTTACTGTGAGATCCCTCATGGCCCCATAAAAAGCGGCTTCTATACGATTCAAATTTCTGTCCTTTATAAGCAGAAGAACAATAAATTTAAAAGGCCTTCTGGGAAACACGCATTGTCTGTCCATAGCTGACCGTCCATTCTGAGTTGAATGCACTGGAGACTCCAGCATGGCCTTGCCTGCCTCGCCTCCATGTGCACTGCAGTTAGCATCAGCAATCCTTCAGTTAGCCTATGTCTCACCATTAATGCTCTCGACTGAACAGTGCAGGATTTAATTCGAGTTTTAAGGATAAAGGGTAAAGCTTTGAAAAGAACTAACCAGATAGAAGAGGAAAAATTTGGCACCAGAGTGGTTTTGCAGAAGCAGCTATATGATGCATCGACATCTCATGCTCTTCAAAAGAAAAACAATTGTTTTTAATGTTTTAATATGCCCTGATGTTAGAGAAAACAAAACCAAAGCCACATGTCACATCAAAGAAGATAATAATTATAACAAAAATAATTGACCGACCGGCAGCATTTGTTGGCTTTAATCACCTAAAAGGCCTGCCATGAAAGAAAGATAGTTGAAAACATCCGATAGCTCTTGGCAGGCTTGTTGAATTCAAGTTTTAAAAACAAGTCTGAGGATATTCCCCGCATGCTAGGGCCCTTTGACATTGCCAGGCCTGGCAGCCAGGCTTGCATAGTAGGCACACTGAGTGGGGTCACACTGTCCATTGGCTCCTGGAGGTCCCTGTGGGCCCATGTGGCCAGGCACCCCAGCTTCACCTTGAGGGCCAGGTGGTCCTGGCATCCCATCTTTGGCATAGCCAGGCTCCCCTGGGAGGCCTAGAATAAAAGCAAAACACCCTTGGTGAGTAGCACCCCGTGGGGCTGACAGAGCAGTGCAGCCTCACAGGAGATAGCATTGCAGCCACACTGGGACATCAGCTTCCACAGACCTGGGTCTGGCCCGCATCTATCTAAAAGTATGGGGCAAATGTATGCAAGACCTCCACCCCAAAGGGCATTCTTGAGCTACATAACTCCACTACAGCTGCTGTTCCTCTGTCACCCCGTTTTTAAAGTTGTGCAGCTGCACTGGCCAACTATTGATGTATAGTCCTAGCAGAGAGAAGGTGGAGACGGGGAAGCTTGAGGCAGGAGCCAACTGGGGGAGAAAACTGATGTGTGTGAAGCATAGTGGGTCCACCATTATTTTCAGGCATTGCAGGGTCTGCATGCCAAATGCAGCCCATCAAGTTATGAAATGCTTCCTGTACTCTCCTCTGCTAACAAATCAGGGTGAAGGTAAAACTAATCAATGATGTCTAATTGCAACATTAGAAACAAATACATTAGAAATAAATAAAACATATTTGCTGCTTCTTTGTCAGTGAAGATACAGCAGTAGCTGTTTGCCTGAGACACAAGCGTTGGATCTGACCTTTTGTAACTCCTGAAGCTAACTGCATCTTTGGGTTCACTTTGGTCACAATATGATTCTGACAAGGGCAGGTAATGCGCTTCATTATGTACCCAAAATTGAGAACTGAAACCTGACTTTAGGTGTGTCCCAAAGGTCAGTTAAGCCAGCTGTAACTGAGCTGGATCATTATACCTATCAGTTAAGACTGGGGAAACAAAGGTGGCCAAATGGGATATTAGGGATGCATTTCTTCCTTTTGGGCTACTGGCTACAGAAATTATGTATACCGTATTTATGTCATCCTGATAGTCTATCTAACATATCTTTGTCTCTGTAACTGTTCTGAGTGGTAACGATTTGGGGGGCTTTCTGGAAGCCCCCCGAAATAAACACACCTGGAATTCCTGGAGGACCTATATCTCCTCGTTGACCAACACCAGTATCTCCTTTCTCACCCTTTGCTCCTCTTTCTCCTGTAGAAAGGGAGAAAAAAAAAGGAAATGAATTGATAGGCGTGACCTACAGAACTAAAGGATATTACGACAGGTCTTCTGCCCACACTGAGGTTAACATTACTAAAAACTAGTTCCTAATAGTGCTCACACCTCTGAGATAGGAAGTAAGCAGGGATGAAGATGTGCACCACTCCAATTCTGGCTGGAGGCTGAACACACTCTACAGTTGTTGGCCACATTCACCACCTCTCTGCTTGAACAAACTGATGCTGCTTTTAATGCATAGGTTTGAGGAGCACTCAGACACTACTAACAGGAGAGGAGGACACCAAAGTTGCTAGTCCAGCTCACTGCTTACATCACTGAAATACCTGAGTAAAGTCTACCTACAGCAAAACAAAACTGTGACAATGACTTAGACCAAGGAAATGCTGGGATATTCAAATATCTGGGAAGCCATGGGATGGTTATGTTCAAAAAAGATTTTCAGAAACAATGATTTTTAGATACAAAAAGAAAAGTGAATAAAAAAGTTAGAACAAAAGCACGAACTGTTTCCTTTAGAAGTACACAGAACAAAATCCTTTTCAGTCTGCTCCGTTTCCCAGCTCTCCACCAGAACTACTGTCCCACAGCATGCTCCTTCCGCCACTCAGTGCCAGTACGGGCAGTGGACGCATCCCATCAGATTTCCTAAACGACTGAGGTTCACTCACCTTTGGGACCAATTGGTCCAGGTGGCCCTTCAGACCCAGTCTGTCCAGGTCGGCCAGGCTCTCCTGGAGGACCGGTTCTTCCTGGGAGTCCTTCCTTCCCAGGGGGACCAGGAGGTCCTGGTCTGCCATGGGATGCTTTCACATGTGCAGGCTGTATCTGAGCCAAGAGATAGGCTAACTTTGCTGTGAAGAAAGAGAAAATGTTTTTTTTTTTTCTTTTTTCAGATTAGAAGGTCAGTGAGTGAGTAGAGAGCCAAAACTACTGCCCCAGTAAATCCCATGTATTTTCAAAGATCAGCTTCCTAATTTGTTGTCCCAACACAACCCTTCCCCATAAGCCATCAATGCTGCCTCCTTGACTCTCTTTGCTACTTCAACCTGATGTCCTTGTAGCTTAAAACTGCTTCTGAATATCATCCTTAACCCTATAAACTTCTCTCATCTTGTTGTCCATGAGTGCTCAGAAAATTTTTTTTCTTTATTTGTACAGGCAGTGGGTGGGTGTCCGTAGAACTGGATCAGCACTGCTCTGAAAGGAAGCACCTGTTTCCACTGCTTTTGTTACACACAGCAAATGCTACATGTAGAAAGACATTTTTCTTTTCTGTTCTGGCCTCTTACACACATGAAGTCAAAGCTAAGGTACTCATCTCTGGCTGTGAAGTCAGAAACTGTAACTAAGGCAGCTCTCTGGGTCAGCATATTCTCTCATTTCCATGCAAGCATACTACTTGATGCTTCCAGATTCAAACGCGGTGCAGCACAGAGAGCTCTTAAAACACGCTCAGAACCATAAGAACATCCTACAGAAGGGGGAGAAAACGGTTTTCTATATTCTCTTTATTGATCCAAAATCCTAATAGCTTTTAAGCTGGATTGGCATTTGAAGTCTGACAGCATGGAAATAAAATCGTTGAAATGAATCATCCCGTTTCACTGTGATCTTTAGCATGGAGGCAAATGCCCATGGATATGTTTCAGCTGCCCCAAGAGCTATGTGAGGAGGTCCCAGCACACGACTCTACAGTTCTTTGTAGATGTGGTCAGTAGTGGCCCTAAATTCACATAATTTGAGAGAAGTAGCGGACTACATCCATTCCTCCCGTACAGATGTGCATGGGACATCACAGAACCTCTCCTACTCCAGCTGGGACCTAAAAAGCACATTTACCAGAGCCCACGGTCCTTCCATGGGCTCTTTCTCTGTTTTCTCTTCCAGAGCCCTGTCTGTTTTAACTTGTATCTTCTCTTTTCCTACCATTTCAGCCCAAACACCTGCAGGAATGAGTCTGCAACAAAACTATTACAGCAACAAAAAGCCATGATGTGATTAGCACAAGCAATGTGCTTTGCCCTGAAGAAGGGAGAAAAGTCCTGCACTATTGCTAGGAATTTCAAGCATGGGGAACGGTAAAGCTTGCTAAATACATTTCATTTTACACATCTCTTTCCATGCAGACCTGTCTCAACATTGCCTTCCACAGCAGGAGAGGTTCAGGTGCCAGGTCCATAGTTAAGGAAAGTATTTTTTATAGCGTCAGATAAATCCATTGGCTTCGCCGAGCTAATTACTTACCATCTAGCTGCTTTGCTAACTCCTCTTGGATTAGCCTTCTCAAAGTCTCCAGAGATGGTGATTCCCCCTAGGGAGTAATAGTCACAGTAGTAACAAAACATAATAATCACAGCCAGGGGAGCAAATGAAGCCTTCGGTGAAGGGTTTGTGGGTTGCATTCCTTCACTTACTGTGTACTCAGGGCTGCCAGTACTGCCTGAAAGAAGGGGAATGTAAAGGAACTCAAAATATGCAAAATTCCCACTCTTCTGGCATGCCAAGCACTTAGAGATGTGAGGAGAGGGCATGGTCAGAGTCCACGTTGGTACACTGGCCACCTTTGCTTCGTCAAGAAAATCTCCCTCCTACGCATTAATAGCAGAAGTAATGGAAATCAAATCTGCAGACACCCTCTGCAGCACCAGAGCACAGTGGAAAACATGCTTCCTTCTTTCCTCCTCTGCACGTTTCCTCGCAGAGAGATGTGTGTGTTCCTACAATGGGTAAGGCTGGTATCTAGACTTGGTATAAGCACTCATTGCTGACAATGCATAATCTCAGGGGCAACAAACTCCAGCTTGCTCCTACGATAACCATTCCTCCAAGCAAATATAAGGTTCTGCCTGATTTCCGGATACTGAAGAGAGGCAGGGAAACTGAAGATAAGGAAGACAACATGGCTCAAAGACATACAGAGTGAGTCAGTACATCTGCCTGGCCTAGATCCCCTATCCAGCCTTCCAAGGGACAGTATCCTTCGCACTCCTTTCTCAGCTCATCTGTGCAACAATGCTGTTAACTAGCTGTAATATTTCATCAGTACTCGACACTATGTGAACAACAGCTCTGGGTGATTCAATTGAAAAACTGATGAAAGCATGTTTGGTAGGCTGGCATGAGAGTGATTTGGGCTGGGACTTTCCCAGAAAACAAAAAGTGGGTGTAGAGCAACCAAAATTCTGTCTTTGGATGCTTTGTATACTTAAAAAATTAGCTATATTTAAAAGGCAACCATTTTGAAACAAGCAGCTCAAACATTTTCCTTCAAAAATTGCGAAGTGAGATGTTTCACAGAAAATACATTTTTAATTTTTTGGTTAAAATTATTCTTTGATTTTGTGACAATTTTCAAAATACTTTTGGTCAAACTGAAAACTACATTCTTCTCGGATCAAGCCATTCGCATGAAAATAAGTTTCTCTTCCCTCACTCCTTTTAACATACAAGAATGCAGAATGCGTCCTTTATGTTTACAAAAAGCCTGTGGGGTCTTCTGAATCAGAAATTACTCTTCTTTAAGAACTGCAGGTTTTACTAAATAGCTAAAAGACATTACAGTTTTAATAGATTTTATAAAACATTGCTGATGAGTACAGACTACAGTTCGTCCATTTGCTGCCTTCTTCCCAACAGAGGTTCTGCATGAGAAAATGATGTTCGTTGGTGACAAAAGAAATGACTTTGGCATTGCTACTAACCATCTGTGATGGCGCGTAGTGAATATCCTAATATGTAAATATGACTGAAGCATTCTCTGAAGGCTTAAAAAAGTATACTTTGAAGCTTTAACCCTACTAGTTGCATTATGTCTCCATAATCATCATTGGATTTCATCAAATCTCTCTGTGTTGTTAAGAAATAAAGAAATGCTTGGTCTAAAATGTATCTAACCTTTACATCAGAGATTATTTTACTGTTTAGTACCCCCAAGGTAATCTCAAAAGACAGAATTCATCCTCAGAATGGTTATAGTGGTTTCACTAGTGTAAGTAGTTGTTCTCATTCTTCTACATACATAACCCTCAGGCACTTTCAATAGTTGTATTGTTTTAGAAAAAAAGAATATTAAGCTAAAATAGGTTTTCATGAATTCTGATGAGCTGACTCTAGGACTTCCAGGAATAAACCAGTGACCTTTCCACAGCTCAGTACTCTGTCTCTCATAACAACCAGAATAAGAGGTAGATGAAAGATACATGGAGATATGAACAACTACGCATTAACACACATATAGAAAGAAGCTGTTGCAGACTCCAGGCACTGACGGTCAGAGTCACATGGTCTGATTTAGGCTTTTAGGAGTATCAAGAGTCAGGGAATGGCAGCCTTCGCTAAAGGTCTGAATTGCTCAGCCCTGTTGAAGTTCAGTCCAACACCACACACAGAAGTCATTAACCAGCCTATTACAGGGAATGCTACCCATACAACAGCAGGAGTTTTATGCTGGAAGAATTCTTCTTTTTTTAACTCTAATTAGAATTTATAAATAACATTCTTCTTATAAAACATCACAGATACTAGTTGCACGCTGTATCAGAAGGTTGCTGCAGTAGCTACATGCATTCAATTAAAGTTCACTTTGCAGAAGGACCCTTCCCTCCTGCTCTCCTTCCCCCACGACACATTCCTAAGATATGTTATAGCGCTGCTTTTTATGCATCAAGGGATAGTAGATAAAAACGCTGCCACCCCTTAGAGACCGTAGCAAGCGTATGCTACAATCAGCCTTACCACAATTTTCCTTAGGCACTTTTCTGACCACGCACCATGACAGTAGTATTACCGGACAAACCTCTTATCTGCCAGTCTTACCCGTGGTCCAGGAAATCCTGGCTGTCCTGGGGGACCAGGAGGTCCAACTTGCCCATTGTCTCCTGGAGGTCCGTGAGGACCCATCAGTCCCGGATGGCCTTTATGACCAGGTATTCCAGGGTCACCTGGAGGCCCCTTTTCTCCTTGAGAGCCTTTTTCACCTTTGACGCCAGGCTCTCCCTAACAGAAAAAGGCCAACGTTACCGCCACAAAATAAAACACAAACTTCAGATTTCCATGCCACAGTGAAACGCAAATAGCTGAGCTGGCAAAGTTACTGAGTACAACATCTGGTGCATTACAAACGATCTGCAAATTATTACTGACGCAGAATGATTAAAGAGACGGTTGGGAGGGTGAGGAAACATGGCATATCCCTACAGGCCACACTTGACTCTTGAATGACCCCCTCCTCCAATCTCTAATCCAAAATAGCTCTCTCGATTTCAGAGTAACAAAATGACTCCGATGATGCTCTCCAACCTACCCTCTCTCCTTTGGAGCCACTTTCGCCTGGTTTCCCTGGTACACCCTGCAACAAAATAAGGGTGAGCATATAAGCACTATCTACAGTTTTGCAATGATTCCTGCGACCTGGGGAAAATGTGTCGCTGCTTATCCCACAGGTCCCTGAGAGCTCTCTGCCTGCTCTCCAGTGTCAGCAATTCAAGAAAAAATCAGTTCGCTGCAACCCAGATAGCATCCTTGACACTTTTGCTGAGACAGCAGCCCTACTTTGAAACAACTGGGAATTATCTTACCTCTTTTCCTGGAGGACCTTTCTCTCCTGGTTCTCCCTGAGAGAGACAAAGAGTGAATGTAGCATAACATTGCAAGGATTTAGAAGTTAGATACTAACTAATAAACCTGAATCTCAAATTCTGTCTAGGGCACAAATGTTCTGTCACACAGCAGTGGGTTTAGATTATTTATTCTTAGACTACTGCTATAGGTTATCTGCTGGAAAGGCAGCTCCTGCTATTTAAAATGCATTTTCAATAAAGCTGCATATATCATGTAAATGTTTCTAAATGAAAGGAAGCATTTAGTCATTTCTACAGAACCAGCTGAGATCAGGATATATGTTTCATTGAAAATGTGTTCCTGTTTTCAGTACATTTTGTTCCTTTCTCGTAAGGATGTTTCACAAAGTTGCCTAAACTTTACTTTGATTGATATACTAAATGCTACCAGTCTTTTCTAGCTTAAGCAGTGCCAATGTTATAGCCACAGCAGTCTAAAGATGTGAGGGAAGTAAATTCTGTAAGGAGAAGTATTATCACCAGCTGAGATAATGGATACCGCCCCTGTAATAAAGCAACTTTGAGCCTGACAGTTTGCATGTATTTTCCAACTATCTCAAATCATCTAAATTTAAATAAACACTCTATTATTTTTTTTTCTATAGCCTGCATTTATCATGTGATAATACAACACTACAATCTTTGTATTTTAGCATTTCAGGCAAAAAAAAAAACTATCACTGCAGTGCTGAAGCACTGCGCTGCAAAAGCAAAGCCAGCAATAAACCAGTAACTGCTACAATTCTGATGACTTTCCTACATCATGAACGGAAAGATTCATCTTTAGAATCCATCTGCAACCCACACACATGATCGTATCTCTAATGTGTGTGTGCAGGTGATATTTTTCCTATAACCTGGAAATGCATAAAACAACTTCCACAGGGATATCCTATACCCATATATGCTTTAATCACCGGTGTGTGATCACATCAGCTCCAAATCAGGCAGCAGCAGACTCACTCTTCATAGTGCCACTTCAGCTTTAAATGGCCACCATGTTTGCTGCTTTAAATTAATTGTCCAGATAAATATTTCTTTCTCCTCTTTCCACCATGAAACTCCCTTTTGAAAGGGAAAAGGAAAGGGAAAGGGGAGAAAAGAAAAAGGTTCAGCTTTGCTAAATTCACATGAAAAGGTTTAAAAATCTCATCTTAAGTCACAACAGGACTGGAAACAAAAATATATACCTAGCATTCACCTTTTCCATCCTCCTTGTGGAATGCAACATATTCTGCTAGCCCTAGAAGGGACCAAGATACCGGATTTCGAGGCTGTGCTTTCATGTGTACAGGTGTTTTTTGGATCCTGTTGTTTGGCAGATATCTGAATATTTTAATGACAATGTACCTCTGCTGCTGACCCCTGAACAGTCAAGCTCATGGTAACAAAGGAATTTTCCTCCAAACAGAAAATAGCAAGTGTATCCTCTATTATTACAGCTCTTCTGGGGTTCACGCAGTGAGATATTCTGAGTAAGTCAGACATCTCATACATGTATTCAGAAGACTATTGTACCTGCCCAATAAATTCACACATTAGAAGGGCTGATTGACGGGTACCAGTTCAGTAAATGAGATTACAGATATCTGAACACAAGAAAAATGCTATCCTTTGCAGTCCAGTTTCCTCTAAAAACTAAACTGCATGGCTTCTGGATCTGTCAGATATTCTGCCGACGCTTTTTAACCTAATTAAACATGACTGTGTGCCATCTTCGTCAGTCCAACATTTAAAACCAGGCAGTTAGCAGCTCTAAACCATCCCCGCATATACTTACAGGTGGTCCTCGAGGTCCTACAAAACCTGGGAGTCCTGGGCTGCCATTTTCTCCTTTATTTCCTTTTGGGCCCTTAGGACAGAAATGAAACAGACGCTAGCAGCCCTTTCTCCCGAATCTCTTTCCCATAGCATGCATTTACAGATATATTGGAACCGGGAAATTTCACTGTAGCAGCAGGACTCCCAAAAATGACAAAGAATGGAAGAAGAAAGGCATTTAGAAAAGCAGATCGCAAACACCATGTCTGCATTATTAATAAGCTGTGTGGGGTCCCTGTGAAAAGATGAAAATTAAACGACAATTATGGAACTGACAGGAGGTACGTTCAGTGGATGCTTCTTGCGCTGCACAGTTTATAAGGTGTCATTACAGCCACGGAAAAGTTGTGATGCACAACAGCAGGAAAATAGCCCAGATGGTCATAGTGCATGAATCTGAGAATACAATTAACAGACAAACAACTACTGAGTTGCTCCCTTGCCCTTATTTCCATGTTCGATTTAAAAAAACATCCGCCCTGTACCTATCTTTTACGATATTCTGCCAAACTTGTCCTTTGTTCTTACAAATCCAAGCAGCTTAAATGGTAGCTTAGGAAATAGATCCATTTCCGGTTGATATTGTTTTTACTTTTATTTTAAACTTTTCTTTCACAATATTGTTCCCCATCTTCTACTTCAGAAAGTAACCCTTTTGCTTCTTAGAGTAAAGTCTGTTTTCATTTTCAGCTTGTCTCCTGTAAAGTGAGCTCCAACAAACCTGACAGACACAAAGCACATGGCTTTTGGCTGTGCAACAACTCCGAGCCCCGTGACGTTGCACAAACCAGGAAAGTTTGGAGATATCAGGAGATGGGCTGCATTGTCATAATGCAGATTTAAGCAGTATTATGAAGTGGGACTGGCATTGTCAAATAGCGAGTACAAAAGGAGAAGTTTCCTGGCAGTTATTACTCAATGTCCTTGTGATTAAAAGTCATCAGCAGTGAAGTAGTCCATAAGGTGGAAAAGAAACCCTTATTGCCGCAGTTGTCTTCCTCACTTCTCCCTTTTTTCAAATAGAAATGTAATATATTGGCCTGTCACACCACATTTTGTTGCCAAGGAAATTAATGTATTTCCAGACAAGACTGCAAATAAACAGACTAGTGTACAGCATAAAGAAGTACTTCCCATAATAACCTTTATGAAGGGGAGAGGATTCATTTTAATGCCAGAGAAAGGTACCGACGAGACCACTGTCTGTTCTGCTGACCAGCACTGTCATTGTTTCCTTTTCCTCATTCATCTACCTTTGTCCATTTCTCAATGTCTTACGTTATTTTTGGAGTGTAAATCCTCTGGAGCAAAGGCTACCTTGGTTCTGAGTTTGTGCAGAAAGCTGCCTGCTGAGTCCCCAGGTGACCAGCTGGCTGCCTAGGTAATGCGATAACACAACGATTGTTTAAAAAACTGCCCTCGGCTGGCGTTCACGGAGCACCCCAGAGCCATGGCAGCCTGGCGAAGAGGAAGCAGCAACCTAGGAAGCCATTAAGCAGTAACAGGAGTTGGGAATAGGGGTAGGCATGATAAGAAGAAATGGAGGCTGGAAAGACGACAGCAGTGATATAAGGGGAAAGAGGCAATAGCAGTGGTCCCAGAAAGGTAGGAAGAAGCTGTGGCATGAAGCAAGCAGCAGCATTGGTTTTTGGCTACAGAAAGGTTAGGAGACTGCACCAGCTCCCACCCCACCCATACAACTACATGGTATCAGTTCCTCATGCAAAAAGGTGCTGCTTGGTTCTCTGCAACAGGTCCGAAGGAGAGGTCCCTGCAGCAAGGCAAAACGCGCTCAGGGCACAAGCCCACCGTCAGGCTGAGGTTGCTTTATGGTGATGCAAGGGCCACACAAAGA